CCTGGCATTACTCTATCTGTTCGTACAGACAAACAGACAGACAGTCACAGATAGAAGAGAATAACAGAAATATTTTCATGAACTATGTAAAATTAGACTTCAAACTTTTATTTAATTAACCCCATATATTACAAAAAGTTATTATTTTTAAACAATAAAATTGACAAACGAACACATAGTCCATCTGATGATTTAGATTCTGTGGTTCATAGACAACGGTCTTCGATTAATAATCAGAATGCAGATGCATTGTAACCTGTATAGATGTAATTACTCGTTTCCAGTTAAATGGGTCTCCGGTTCACGACACTCATCGTACGAAACACAGGAGCATTTATATAGCTGCTATTTCACGCTGGTATTCTGTAAGATCCTTCTCCATTCATGGTGTTACAACCATAATATAGCTGCAGTGTAGCTTTACTACATGTAAAAACATTTTAGAAGTACTTTATTCGTCCCACTGCTAGGCACAGGCCCCCTCTTACTTTTGAGAGGGTTCAAGTTAAAATTATTTTTGTATCCCTTCCTGAATAATACCGGTTACCGTGTGTGTGATATATGTAGATCACTAACTAAGTTAGCAAGCATTCCCGTTATTACGTCGAAGCATTAGAATTATTGGGCACTCTACTACGCGGTACCTTCAACATTCAGAATCGACTTTGATAATTCCTATTTTCATAAAAAAGTTATATATTTAGAAAAATTCCACTCATAAGGGCGTTAAAATTAAATGTTTTAATGTAACAAATTTAGACGTCATTGATATTGTGATATTGCGAATTAACTTTTAGTAAAAAATAAAAGCTAACTTCGAAAAATAAAATAATTTCACATTCTGAAGTCGGTGTTTTAATTTTTCTATATACTATGTTTTAGCACCGACTTCAGAATGTGAAGTTATTATATTGTTTTTAGTTCCTTGAAGATGGCTCTTATTTCTTATTTTTTAGTTTTATTAGGAATAAACTGCTGCACATCTCCTGTTTTAGTAATTTGAGTGTTATTTTACTAGTAAAGGTAAATTTAATTTATTAATAAAGGTGCTTAAGATTGTTCAACTGCAGCTCACGTTTATTACAATCATGTGAAATATGATTCTTAGTTTCGGTTAATGACTTGTAAACAGAGCGAGGGTAGGCGCGTCATTAATAACGGGAGGCTGTCTCGCGCAGCTCCTTCCGAAATTACGCGCCTCCCCTAACTATACCGCGTAACTATCTCGTAATTAATGCGTACAAAGAGCAATTCTTACTAAAATATGTTTTCTGTGAGCATATAAAAAAGTTAAATTATACTACGTACGTCCCACGGCTGGGCAAAGACTTCCTCGCATTTTTGAGGGTCAATTAGTCCACCGCGATGTTTCAAAGCGTTTTGACAGACTTCACAAGTCTTCGAAATATTTTTATTCCTCAATAATGCAGGTATTTTCGTGTTTACCTTCATCACTGAGCCGTGGTTAATCAGACCTTAAAGTAATCTGTATGTTCTCCGCCGGAACTAATGTTTTCTTTGGTTCCGGCGGAGATTATACCCAGGTTACTCGAGTACTATGAAATTTGCAGCAAGCACTTAGCCCTTGAGCTACCACGGTAAGAATAATAAATGAAATCAAGATTTTATGTCAGGGTTAAGACACAACATTTTTATATGAATTTGACTAGTTTTTTATTTGCTTAGGGATTTTATTACGTAGTTTTTTTTTACTTATTATAAGCCAGTGCTTGACCAAAATCCCACCTGGTGGTAAGTGGTGATGCAGCTCTAGATGTTAAATCGCACTGTCTTATCGTAATAAAAGCCTATTCACTCTTGCCTTGAAGACGCCCAGATTGTATTCGGATGGAAAGATAGACGCCGGCAAATTATTCCACTCCTTTGCTGTACGCATTACAAAAGACGAAGCAAACCGTTTGGTTCTAATGCGTGGAATATCGACAAAAAAGGGATGAAGACCCGCCGACCGTCTGGTTGTCCGATGGTGGAAAGGAGAGGGAGGAATTAAGGCGTGTAATTACTGCGGACACTCACCGAAATGCATCCTATAGAATACCGAGAGACTGGCTACTCTGCGCCTGTGCTCGAGGCTGACAAGATTGGTTTCAACCAAATCAAGGCCATCAATGAGCCTCTTAGCACGTCTCTCCACTGAGTCCAATGCTGCCAGGTGGCATACTGACAGCAGTACTCCATGCACGACCGGACTTGGGCTTTATATAAGGTAAGAAGCTGCCCCTGCGTAAAGTATCGCCACACTCTTGCAAGGACAACAAGTTTCACTTGCGGCTGCTTTGGCTCTGGACTCAATGAACCGTCCATAGTTTAGGTTCGGGGAAAATTCAATCCCTAGCAACTGTAGGCGGTCAATGTACTCCAAGGATACATTTCGGAAAGTAGGAGCCAAGATGAGCGGGCTCCTTTTAGCGGTAAAAAGACACGCTTGTGTTTTGGAGACGTTAAATCTCACGAGATTGGCATTGCCCCATTCGGAAACTGCCTGTAGTGTGAGATTCACAAGCTCAGCCATAACCTCTCTTTCTGACTGAATTTGATCCCAACTGGCCCGGGCGCTTGGTTGGTATCTCTCCACCACTGTACTGTCGTCTGCATACCAATAGATACCGGGGAAGAGCAGATCATTTATATGCAGCAGGAATAGAGTTGCAGAGAGAACGGACCTCTAAGGAACACCGGCGTTAGTCGCCACAGTACCGGATGAGCAGCCATCAACGACGACCTGGAGAGACCATTCACTCAGAAAGTATTTCACCCAGGTAATCAGGCTGTACGCTGAAAGCTTGCCCAATAAACTAGCGTGCCAAATCCTGTTAAAGGCCTTCGAAACATCGAGGGAAACAGCAAGTGCTTCACCACTGTTCTCGAGGGCCTCGCCCCTTATGTGAGTGGCATATGCTAAAAGGTCCCCAGTTGATCGATTTCAGCGAAACCCGTACTGGCGATCACTGAGGAGATCATTTTGCTCTAGGTATGACATTAGGTGGATGTTCAATTTACGCTCCATAATCTTGCAGAGTATGGAGGTAATTGAAATTGGCCGGTAGTTGACAGGGTCGGTACGGCTACCTTTTAGGCACAGGCTGCACAATGGCCCGCTTCCAAGATTTAGGCACTATTCCAGTCCGGAATGAGAGGCGGAACAAGCGTGTCAACACAGGAGACAGCTCAGGTGCACAGACCTTTAGAAAAATATCATCAGGTCCACTAGCTTTGTTCACGTCTAGACTTCGCAAGATTTTAAGAACCTCCTTGTTGATGATACGGACCTCTGACATAGAGGTACCGCAGTGAGGTAATTGAGATGATACGCTGTTGCTACTATCCAGACGCGAATTGCAAGCAAAAAGAGAAACAAATAAGTCCGCTTTTTCCTTAGGCGCATGCGCCAGTGAGCCATCTGGTTTTACCAGCGGAGACAGTGTAGACCGACAGAAGTTTGTCTCGACCTCTTTGGCGAGAGACCAAAAAGCTCTACTGAGAGATGGTTTGACAGAGAGTTTTGTGCAGATGTGTTTAATGCGATCGAAACTGGCTTGGCTTAAGACGGCTCCGTGGCTCAGTGGATTAGTAATCAGTTGTTGCGCTGGGGGCCGCGGGTTCGATTCCCGCACGGAACAAGTATTTGTATGGCCTACAAATAATTGTTCCGGTTCTAGATGTTTGTCCTCGTGCAATTTATGCTTGTAAACTGCCTCCACGACACAGGAGAAAATCCTAGTGTGGGGGTAACGTTTTTTAAAAAAAATAAAAAATAAAAGACGATGAAAAATGATGATTTTTGCAGGACTTCTCGGCTTGTTTAAAGGCTCTTTTCTTAAGGCTAACATCCAGAGCTTTACGATCTTGAGCATCGACCCAGGATAAGTACGCCATATGCTTGTGCTTTTTAGCAAGAGCGCACTCGGCATTAAACCATGGCGAGCTTTACCATCAATGGGCACGTCAGCAAAGGGGATGAAATACTCCATCGCTTGACGTATCACATTGGTAATGGCAACCGCGCAGCTCGACGGGTCTTAAGAAGAGAAGCAGACCTGCCGCCAAGGATGAGATGCAAAGAAATGCCACATCTCATCCCAATCTGCTGACTTGTGTCGCTACATTCGACGCACTACGTGAAAAGCTTAGTTAGGTGGGGAATATAAAGACATAGATTTCACCAGACAGTGGTCAGAAGTTCCCAAAGGTGAGGTAACCTGACCATCGTACCTATCTGGATCGGTCGTCAGCAGAAGGTCGAGGCAGTTGGCTGTGTGTCCATCCACATCAGGTACCCTAGTCACTTCTTGTAGCAGCTGGGAGAGCCCCAGCAACAAGGCAAAATTCCACGCCTCTCTCCCAGCGTGGTCGATCTTCTGGTATAGAAACAGCCAGTCCTGATGACTGGCATTAAAGTCCCCTAGAAGAACCAACTGTGCATTAGGGTACCGATTTAGAGCCACATCAGAGGCTTCACTGAGGTGTTCAAACAGCCAACTTATCTCCTGGTCACCGCTGTGCGATCGGTAGACACATGAATAACTAATTTTATCAATTCCTGTGTCTATCAATACCCAGATCGTAGAGAAAGTGGGGTTTTCAAGGTAACGGAGACGCTTACAGCAGATGTCGTTGCGGACGTAAACACAGACTCCGGCGCGGTGATGGAAATTATGCTCCAATGTGAACCCAGGGTAGCCAAAGTACGCCGCATCTGATCTGCGTCTCAGTCAAGAAGAGTAAGTGCGGCTCTTCAGTCTCAAGGTGGTAATGAACTGCATTGAGATTAGAGTGCAGACCTCAGATGTTTATGAGGTGCACTTTGATGGAGAGGGAGTGCAACCGCTGTACAGACTTACTCTTCTTTTTCCTTTTTTCATTAATGGTGGGAGTGAATAGGTTGAGAGAATGGCAGTTGGACGAGGCGTCACACATAAGTCGTACGCGCGCCGCGTCACGGGTATTACGTAACGTCGATCAATCGATTTACAAATACAATGGTTAAGTGTTCTCAATGCAACAAAATTGTTCCCAAGAAGTCCCCAGGGATCCAGTGTGGTAAATTCAGCAAGTGGACACATGGGGAATGTACTGCAATCTCGGAAGAGCAACTTAACGTATTAAATAGTACCGACTCTGTTGATTGGAAATGCCGTACGTGCACGGGTACAGCGAAACCGAAAAGAATTTCATGTATTATTCCTGACGCAGAAGAAGACACAGGTTCCAGCTCAGAACTGCAATACAACACCCTAATGAGAAAAATAATCAGCGACATAAGGAGAGAATTACGAGAAATTATGCAACAAGAACTTCAAACTACCTTACAATTTTTCTCCGAAAAAATGGATGAATATCAAGAGAAAATTAAAGAATACGAAATAAACTTGAAATTAACTGACAACCAAATAAAAGACATAAAAACAACTAAAAAAACGTGTCACTAAAAAATGACGCCATTGAACAAAAAATTAACTCGTTACAACAAAACCTCATTATTAATAACATCGAGATTCACATATCTCGATGTTATTAATAATGAGGTTTTGTTGTATAGATTCTCCGCTGCCTCTTCAGCAATACCACAGTATTGCTGAAGAGGCAGCGGAGAATCTATTAGATTTAACAAAAAGAATTGCGATAAAAATAAACCAAAACCCACAAGATATAATTAAAGCATTCAGAAAAAAAAACAGCACGCTCGAACAACAGCAATAACTCGCAGTCTGTAGTGATTTTATCATTGAGAGATGGTTGCAAAGAGATGTGGTTGGAATCTTCAAAAAATATAGATATCAGCTGCCGAGACATAGGACTTTCGCAAGGAAGCAAGATTTACTTCAGGGAATCTTTGACACCTGCAACTGCTTATTTGCTGTGGAAATCAAAAACAGAACTAAAAAGAAATAATCTCTGCAAGTTCGTGTGGTGTAAGAATGGTGTGATATTGGCAAGAAAACATGAAACAGATAAAATATACCACATTCGATCTAGCAATGATGTAGAAAGAATGGTGAAATCATTTAACACAAAATGAAATTATATGTAACTGTCAAATGTCAAGTTATTATTGTAGTGTTTCATGGAAGATTTCACTCCACATATAAATGAATATACATATAACAGCTGGAATGCATTTATAGAAAAGACTCCCATAGAATGTAATTATCTATGTACCCTTCATTTAAATATAAGATCCATGCTAAAAAACTTTGATCAACTTGAATACATAATAAACAACAGCTTAAGAATAATACACATCATTGTAGTTACAGAAGCTAACATAAGAGCGGAGTGCTCATCTCTTTTTCAACTGGAAGATTATGAGATGTATACACAACTTCGCAAAAACAAAAGAGGTGGAGGAGTCATCTTATATGTGCATAAAAGTGTTTCATTTAATAGACTTCCAGTGAATACATGCTTTTCCGAATCCATTATTGGTGAAGTGTCAACATGCTACAACTATAACTTGTGTATTTGTGCATTATACCGACCTCCAAGCTCTAATCAAGTATTTTTTATCAGGGAAATCAAACAGGTAATAATGCAGTTTCCTTCAAAAAGTAATCTTGTAATTCTCGGGGACATAAACATAAACATTAAACTAAATGAGTCAAATGTTAACTTATATCTCAACACCATGAGCGAGGTAGGCCTTGATTGTGGAATTCGAGAGTATACACGGATTGAATCTAGAGGGAACTTGATTACCAAAAGCTGTATTGACCACATATTCATACGAAGCCTTGACAATCACTGAGTGATTATCAATCAAACATTAAGAAAAAAAATCAAACATTAAGAAACGGCCGCGTCGCAACCGGTTCGTATGCGCAACGCAACTGTCCAGACCCATTCTAACATTATAAAGGGGGGGGGGGGGGTGTTTGTAATCCTTAATATAGAAAAACTACACTGTATTAATCCTTTACATCCTTGATTCAAAATATAGAATTTCAGTTACAATAACCAGATCAGAAAATCAATTGTAATTAGTTATTAGCAAAATGTAATTAGTTTCCCGAAGATAAATCACCACCTCAGTAACCGCGACAGTATTTGTACTAACACTAATGATTCCTTTTCTTCTATGCCTACATACATCACTGCAATATAATCAATGCCAGAAAACCGATCAGCTTTGTGGTCCTCTTCTTCGTTATCATCATCAGTCAGTTGTAGGGAGGATTTGCTTAAGTCGTCAGGCTTGGCTGGCAGATTGACGATCGCACTACCAGACATGTCGCACCTTTGACGCTGCTGCTCGTCAGTTGTCTAGTATTTCACATGACGTAGATGTGATGCTTTTTTTCTATAGACGAGCACACAGTCCACCTGATGGTAAGTGGATGCTGTGGTTTATCGACATTTACATCCATCCTCGATTAAGAATCAAAAACGGTGGTATGTTGATTAATGCATACACGTGCCCTCATTACGATTCCAAATGCAAATTATTAAATCACACGCGCTGAAAGGCGGCAAATGAATAAATGTTGAATTTTATTGTAATTTTCTGCTATCTGATAAAGTTTTGTTTGCATTAGTTGAAGACAACAGACGTTAATTTAACAATGGTTATTCTCAATGGCATGTTTAGGTGATTTTTAAAGGTTCCGCTGTCATACAAGAAAACGAAAAAGAAATCGTTATTTTTTTTCTTAAAACTGACGTGACAATCGATCTTACAGTTCATCTGATGGTAAAGGGACACTACTCTCCCTCCGCAGCCCCACCACCACCGCATTAACGGTGCGGCCCCATCAGAGTCGCGGAGGATTGGGCGAGTGGTGCATCGCCATATCAATACTCCTCTTCCTCTACGACTCCACCTCGGTTACAGCGGTAGGGGAAAGGACAACCCTCTCGCCGCAGCCCATTAACACACATCCGAAGTAGGTTCGCCAACCCCACTCGGAGTGGCCACCTCGGGTCGGTCCTGCACCACGGACAACCAAGTGGTTTCCTCTTTGTTCACCGCGGGTGACCAAGCCACGGCTATTTAGCGCCCCCCGCTACGACAAGACGGGAATCCGTTTAGGGGGGGGGGGGAGTCCATGGACACCTACAGCCGACTTCAAACAACTGCTACAGATGCGTTGTCAATTCTGAGGACTAAGATGGAATACCTTACATCCTGTAATTATACTGGCCTACAAATTTTTGTTATTTTCTAAATGTTAACTTTTTGAAACCGTAACATTTTGAATCTGAGTAACTGATAATCTATTGTTTAAATCCGCGGTTAGGCTTATGTTGTAAAATGCTCTTTTTACCACGTTACCACGTTTTTATTAACTCGCTTTCGTATAAATGTATGTTCGGATTTGAGGAAAGATGTAGATTTTTATGGGTCACAGCAACCACTTACCATCAGGTGGCCTGTGTGCTCGTTTGTCACCCTATCCTTGTAAAAAAAGTTCATCATAACTCGCATAAACAAAATTGCTACGGCATAAAACTGAGATCTTATCTCAGTGACTGCAATGATTTTCGGTCCAGTTCTCGATACTACTCACAAACTGTTTTAAGATTAATTTTAAGAGACGTGTAGTATTAATTGCTCTAAAAATTATTTATTACTAAGGATCCGCCCTGGCTTCGTTTAGTCAGGATCTATTAATGTGGCGTTATTTAAATTACGGACAATTTAAATAACGCAATCAAAAAACATTTATTTTGTCAACTTTTTTTAATGTCTTAAGCTTTTCGGATAAAGTAAAGCCTAGATCCTCCTGACATTGATCTCTATCTATTCGCAAAGTTTTATCACATTCTGTTCAGCCATTCCGATAATTACCCCGCACAGACAGACAGACACACAAACGAAATTTTTTAAAATGATTATTTATGTCTCCATATCATACAAATAGCCCCCCCCACAGGTCTAAATTTATTTAAGTTAACACGAAAAAACACAAATCAAATTAGCAAGTAACAACCCTAGTACGATCAACAAATTATCCGATTACGTGACAACCTTATCTACCTAATCAAAGTACTTCGCCTCAACAAAATTCCCGCTTGTTAACCTACGGGCGTGGCGTTAGCAACTACCTACTAACAACAAAAAAAAGGCGAGAACAAGGCAACACTTCATTTTTATTAATTTTTTTATAGAATAAGGTGACAAACGAGCACACAGTCCACATGATGGTAAGTGGTTGCTGTGACAAGACATCTACATTTATCCTCGTTTGCGAATCATAATGTAGATGCGTATTCACCCGTGAGGACTAAGATGGAATGCCTCTTTTCCAGTCAAAAGGGACTCCGGTTCTCTACACTCACCATACGAAACACAGCAGTGTTAAGCTGCTATTTAACGTTGGTATTTTGTGAGAGCGTGGTCCTTCCCCGGTCGAGCCGACCCATTCTGATATAACTATACTACTAATATAGCTGTTACGGCCCACAGCTGCCCTTGCAAAGGTCACCTTGGCTAGGGCCCATAGTAGCCTCCTCGACAGGCAGCCGAGGGTTCGGGCCCAAATGGCCTTATGGAAAATGACCTATCATACTACAAAATAAGGAGAAGGCTAGGAAAATAAATGGTACGTACCTGGATCCGAATCTAAGACCGCCCCAAGGCTCAGTCAGGCCGTAGGTAGAGTAGATGAATGTAAAGTAGTGTTTAGTGGTGTGTACATGTGGGTGACCTGGCCCAGCTGAGGTGACCTGGTAGCGCGACGGTTTCCATGCTACCCCACAATGCTGCATCACTCCAGCAGGCGTCCACCATATACAATTTCTTTCTTCATTGTCACTATTTCAGTCTATTAACTTTATTGTACATTTACTTAACTTCAACTCGCGTAATTCCACATTCATCGTAGAATCGAACATGTGATACCCGACACAAGCAACGGACAGTAGGTCAAGGTTCAACATTCAATGTCCCGGATTCATTTATAACCAAATTACAAATAGGGAACTAACGCGATCTCTTCATGAGTCACACGGTTCAGCGTTAAACACAACTAAGTTCATTCGTTCGATACTAAACACCACGCCGCAATAAGAATTCAAAATCAACCTAGCTGACACGTAAACTAGTTACCGAGTCAAAACACAAAAGGCTCTTAACGCGACGGTATAATTGGACGATGATTTCCAAACAATCAACCGGGAGACGCCTTTAATCAGTCAAATACAATACAAGCCTCTTGTCACGAACTTAAAGCCTAGACAACCTAAACCGAGGCGGTTTTCACAAAACCACAATTACGTAGCGAAGTAACACGCACTAATTCTAAAAATCTAGACCATACCGGTCGCGTGAAACTTCGGCAGCGGCTACCGAGATACGCTAATTAACTGCACCGCTGCCAGCGAGCTACTGTCACGCACTCTCGAGGCCGAACGCCGGGGATTGGCATACCGCTGCTCCCGCACGTTACCTCACACCATCGGGCGATGCGCCCAGCCAAACGTGATTGGGTGG